CTACTGACATAGCTTCTCATCAAGCTTCTCTCAGTTTTACAATGTAGGTATTTAAATAGAAAAACAATGTTGGGGTGGTAGGTGAGGGAGCTGTGCCATCAGTTTAGCTCTGCTCTGAATTGGCTGTGCAAATTTGGACAAGTCACTTTCTATCCCTATGGCTTTTCCAGGGATAAAATAAAAAAGGTGGAATAAGTGATTTCTAACATTGAGTATTCTAGATATATGTTATTGTGACCTCGTAAATTGTGGCAACTAGTGATAAAGTGAATAGAGCACTGGGCCTGGAATTAGGAAGACCTAAGTTCAAATCCAGCCTTAGATACTTACTAGCTTTGTTATCCTTGGCAATTCAGTCACATAAACTTTGTCTGCCTCAGTTTCCCCAACTGTCAAATGGGGACATTAAGAGCACATGAGGATAATAACAAACATACACCTCACCAAGTTGTTGTAAGGATCAAATGAGATAATATTTGTAAAGTGCTTGGCACACAACAGACACTTAATAAATCTTTTTTTTAAACCTTCCTTTTCTCATTCATAAATAGCCCTGTACCATATGTCTCTAAGTCAGGAATGATACAGCATAATATTACAATCTAGGAATGCCACAATAGTGAGCCAGAACATTGTTGCAATGCTTTTAGATTTTTTCATTCTTATTCTGAATTTAACAAACACACAAAGAAAATTGACATTTCCATATTCAAAGTAGAATAGAAAAAGAGGATTATATGTGAAAATGTGAGTCTCTACTATCTATAGGTTGCTTTTTAAAATGTGTATATTCAATTCAACATATTATTTTCAACACTGTCCTGCTTGCCTGTGTTTCCTTCTGAACTTCATTCAGTTCTCTTTTGGGCATTCAAAAAAATGTTTCAGTGATCCTCCTCCTCCTCCTCCCCCTCCTCCTTCTGTCTCCCTCCTCCTCCTCTTCTTCTTTCTTCTTTCTTCTTCTTCTTCTTTCTTCTTCTTCTTCTTCTTCTTCTTCTTCTTCTTCTTCTTCTTCTTCTTCTTCTTCTTCTTCTTCTTCTTCTTCTTCTTCTTCTTCTTCGTCTTCTCCCCTCCACCTTCTCCCCAAATACAAAGAGAAATCAGTCCTTGCAACAAATTGCTTTTTAACTTTTGTACAGAGTCATAGACTCTTAGACTTAGAAGAGACCTTAGAGGTAATCTTGTCCATCTCCTTGTCCAATGAATGACTCTATTCTATAGCATTCCCAACAATTGGTCATTCAAAGAAAAACACCTTATCTCATTCAATCCAACCAGGAGGGAAAGGGAAATGGTAGAAGTGGTGAGCACTTTGGACAAACTGATGAAATAGTCACATATATTTGTTCCCAGGACTGGGTTAAAAGTCACCAAAGAAGGACCTTTAAGCAGAGGTTATTAGGCTGAAATAAGGAATTTAGAATGGCGTTACCCCAAATACCATTTCAGATGAATCTGAGGAGAAAACATTAGTACAGTTGTTGTTAAACTCATTCCTGGATAAAGTTACACAATTATACTCTTGAAACCCATAGAAGACTATCTATCCATCCAAAGTATTTGCAGGTCATTTGTAAACAGATTCATGGGGATGATATATCACCTCCTTAAACAGGTGATAGTGATAAAGGCAGGGTGGGCATATGCCAAATGGAAAGAGGGATACAACCTAATTCCAAAATGGATTTGGACTGAGAGGAATTTTGTTCAAGTCTCAGACTTGTTACCATCTGTGTAAGATCAGTAGGATTTTAGGATCATAGATCTAGAGTGGAAAGGAATCTTAGAGTCAATTGAATACAATCCCCTCATTTTATAGAGGAGGAAACTGAGGCACAGAGAGGTTAAGTGGCTTGTCCACTTAAAGGCACCTAAGTTACATAATGAATAGAGCATTGGGCATGGACTTAAGTTCAAATCTGGCCTCTGACACTTACTAGCCCTGTAGCTTTGGGAAAACCTTGGCATCCGTCTGCCTCAGTTTCCTTAACTGTAACATGGGGATAGTGCATGTCTTCTAGGGTTGTTGTGAGGATCAAGTGAGATAACATTTGTAAAGTACTTAGCACAGTGCCTGACAAATAGTAGACACTTAATTTGTTTTCTTCCCTCTTTCCCTTTCTCTCTTTCTCCTTCGTTCCTTCTCTCCTTTTCCTTCTTTCTTTCCTTCCTTCCTTCTTTCCTTGTCCAGTCAAAATCCAAAGTCTGATACCCAAGCTGAAGAGTCCCATTATTCCAAGTTTATCTACTCCCTTCCCCCCAACTAAAATTTCCATTCTCTCAGAGTGGGTGTTAAGAGGAAAATAATCTGGTTACTTGATTAAAGTAATTCACATTAAGGTCTGAATGATTAATAAAGCTTGAACAATCCCAGATAATAATTGCATTTTAAAAGAAGATTTTGTCCAGGATCATGCAGCTAATAAGTGTCTGAGGCAGTATTTGAACCTAGGGTTTCCAGATTTCAATCATATATCCTTTCTAGAATTTCATAAAATGAGAGGACAGGACTGAGTAATTTCTAACATTCCTTCCAGCCTTAAATCTTATAATCTCAATCAGTATTTATTAAATGGGCATGCTATGTGCCTATAACCTTAGAAAGGGTTTGAACAGAGACAGAAGTATGTGAAGGGCCCCTGCCCTCAAGGAGTTTATAATCTTTTAGGAAAGAAAAGACTTACCCATATGAAACAATTAGACAATAATATAAAAGAGTATTACCACCATGCAGGGCTACGTGGAGCAGTGGATAGAGTGCTGGGCCTGAAGTCAAGAAAACCAGGGCTCAAATTTGGCTTAAGAGACTTACTAGCTGTGTGACCCTGAGCAAGTCCCTTAACGCTATTTGCTCAATTTCCTCAATGAGTTGGAGAAGGAAACGGCAAACCACTGCAGTATTTCTGCCAAGAAAACCCCAAATGGGGTCGTAAAGGGTCAAACATGACTGAAAATGACTGAACAACAATGACGATACTATTCAATATCACAAAAGTTATTATTGATAGACTGTACTTTGGGGGAAGAAAAGGAGTGTCAGACTTGGTTCTTGCCCACAAAGAGTTTATACTAAATCTAATATAAGCAAGTGCCAAATTTTATTATATTATAATTATAATATATAATTATAATATATATTATATGTATAATATAATATATCATATTATATTGGCAGGAAGAGAAGTGGTCCTGTGGGCTAGAGTTATCCAAAGGGCCGTTTCAAAGTTAGATGCTCTTTCCCAGGATGCCAGACCACTAAACAAGTTTCCCCAGAGATAGGGGATAGGCCACTGTTCACCTTTCCTGTCATAGCCCATCCTTATCCCATTGTCTGATACCCACTCCAAAACCTCTGAGCTACCCGAGGACTACCTGGGCCAGTCTTCTGCAAACCCTGACATTATTGTCTTTGGCACCCTTAGTCTTCTCATTTGGAACTGTGGCTTTCCCTTTTGGTGGCATTCTGGAAAACACACGCTCTATAATCAAATCCTGTCTCTGTCACTTACTGTCTATGTGACTTTGGGGAAGTCACTTAACTTCTTTAAGCCTTCATTTCATTAGACCAGATGGTCTCTAATAATAATAATTATAGTGAGCATTTATATAGCACTCACTTGTGGCAGACGCCATGCTAAGAGCTTTACAATTATCTCATGTGATCCTTACAACCTGGGTGGGGAGTGAGGCGGTGAGGGTGGGTAGGTGCTATTATTATCCCCATTTGACAGATGAGGAAACTGAGGCAAACAGAGGTTAAGTGACACAGCTAACAAGTGGCTGAGAACAAATGTGAACCCTGGTCTTCTTGACTCCAGACCCAGTACTCTATTCACTGTGCCATCTAGTTGCCACAAGGTAACTCTAAAGTACCTCACAGCTCTAAATCTATGATCTCTCCTCACTCTGCTCAGGATTTTAGTGTCCTTCATTCTCCCTTGCCCTCTTATCCAAATCTTTTCTTAAACCACATTTTCTGAAACTCATCGACAATAAAACTTCCACTGACTAATTGACTCATTGTCCAAAGTCTGATACCCAAGCTGAAGAGTCCCATTATTCCAAGTTTATCTACTCCCTTCCCCCCAACTAAAATTTCCATTCTCTCAGAGTGGGTGTTAAGAGGAAAATAATCTGGTTACTTGATTAAAGTAATTCACATTAAGGTCTGAATGTTTAATAAAGCTTGAACAATCCCAGATAATAATTGCATTTTAAAAGAAGATTTTGTTAACCCAATGAATATCTAATGGGTAGAGTGTATCATTTCTGCAGAGGGGACCTTCCCAGTCAATATCCCCCTCACCTTCTGCCATGGCTTTCCTACCCCCAAACCAAGGAAACAAAACACCCCTTTGGAACTCTACTTCTGAAATATCATCAACCCTGCAGTGACATATAAGTGATTGATGAAAGTTTGCTTTTTAACAGAGAGTGTTTTACCTTCGACTAAAGCAGGGAAGCTCAAGTGATCCAGTTTTAGACATGGGGTAGGGTATTCTTTTGGGCATGGGGCCTTTCCTGGCACCCTGAGCACATGGACAGCTGCCTTCTTTGATAGGACCATCCCCAAAAGGGCATTTCCTGTCTTCTCTTTCTGTAGGAGGGACCCAGTAAGAACCTGTAAAAATCTGATGCTAACCTAATAAAAACAGCCACAGATTTATTAAAAAAAAAAAATTCCTGAGGTAAGGAGCAATCTGTTTTGCAACACTGTAATAATGATAATCCCCTACCTTGTTTAAATGCTTTTATTTTTTCAAATTGCCTAAATTCCATCTGAGCTTCAAAATAACCCTGTAATTTAGGCAACACACCTATGTCACAGAAAGGATACTGATTTTTAGAGAAGTGAAGTGACCCAGTGATTTAGTGACTACAACCCTGGTCTCTCGGTTCTCAGACCTGGACCCTTTCCATTACATCTGGCTTCCTCTCTAGGCAACCAGTCCTCTTTCCAAGAATGGCTCATCATTCCTTTCCATTTTACTTTCTCCTAGGTCACCCTTGGGAGGTTCTATGAGACAAGGACCTGTCAACTGAGGAAGTATAAACCACCAGTGAAACTGGACCCTCTTTGGCACATGCCCCACTTTCAAAAGGTCAGTAGGTCCTAGAGTGGTAACAAAAACAATTGGGTGTGAAGTGTCAAAAAGGAAAGCTTGACCATGATTGTGCTCTAGTCCTCAAACTCTAGGAAATTGGGGCAGAGAAAGACATCATAGCAATAGGTGTCTGGGGGTGGCACCTACTAATATGGGTCAGAGAACACCACAAGACAAGCCTGCACGACATACAACCAGCCAAAGGATTTTGGGTGGCCTGGGAAAATGTAGAGGACGTAAAACAGGCCTGCAAAAGGCAAGGTACAGGTATTGGGTTTGATGTGGGGAGGAAGCATGCCTCACCCTGATGTTGGTGCCCCAGGAAAAAGCCCCATTCACTCCGTGCTAGTTATGGCTGTGGTACGTTTTCCCTCTCTTGGTCAGGTTCAGCTAGGGCAAAATGCCACTTGCTATTTCTTACCTCATCCATTCCTAGGTGTAATTTTCACTGAGTTATAAACTCAGTTTTGCCTTACGGCAACAAGAAGCAACATTCACTAAGTGCCCATTGTGTGATGAACACTGCTCCTTCACTGCAAATGTGGCCTACTCAACGTTGGAACGGATAGGACTGAACAAGGAAGCCCTGCTATTCTACCTCTTGGGGAAACCTCTCAACAGTGATGGGTTCATTTTGAGTCAAGAAGGCTTTTTGACTTGCCCTGGAGTTATGTTTCTGAAAGCTCACACATTCCCCGATGCTCTAAAGAGCCTGCCTGACGGTGTCCCGGGTGGAGATGAGAACCTATGGTCACTAGATTTTGATGCGAGTTCACAAAACTCACCTAAATTGATCCAGATAAGTATCACAGTTAAGATTTCAGGCAGTGGTGCCTTGTATTAAACTCAACTTCTTGTCCTCTGGTGGGAGCACACGCATCCTAGTCAATTGCTGGTGGCAGGAAAAATAATGTACCAGTTAAGAGTTAGGGGTATTACCTAGAGTAAAGGCAACAGTCTCGGGGTATCAGGCAATGGCCCCATGGTTTGCAAAAGTCTCCACCTGATTTGCTGCTGGGGAAGTGATAGGCAGCAGAAATCTTTCCCAGCCCTGGGGGGGGGGGCAGTGCTGTTCTGTCGAGCTAAACTGCAATTTAAGCAATGAAGAGGGATGGTGGCTTCCTGAAGCTGATGCACTTGAACACGATGCAGAGTTTCACGGGAGAAATATGCTTTGCTCCACCTTGATGTATTCCTCTTATGTCCTGCCTAAGTCAGATCCATTAGCATATGTCAGTGATCATCTCCCCCAGCTGCCTGTCAGCACAGAGCCACTGCCGCAGGTAGTGTCATGGAAAGAACACGACCGATCACTGTTGAACAGATTGTGGAAGTCACACGAGATACGGGGCGGGGGGGGAGCAGCCGCTTTAAATCTCCTCTCACCCCAGACCTTTACATCACCATCCGTTTTTCAGTCTCTATCTTTCTCGATTTTTTTTTTTTTTCATTTTCAGGAGAACTACCAATCACTTCTCTTTCTCTCATACAGAGAGATTTAATACCTTCCACGCTCTCCTTCTTGGCCTCTCTTTCAGTCACCCTTTTCTCTCTCTTTCCTCTGGTTTTCACCTGCATTCTGGAGGACTGGTCTGTTTGGAGCTCTCTGGCTATAAAAGGTCAGCAATACTTTTCTCAACCAGAGTAAAATGCCCTTAATCCTTCCCTAATTCCCAACTTTAACCTCCCTCCCTAGCCCTCCCCTGCGAGAACCCCTCTATCCACCCCTTTCTAGCTGTGATCTGGGACACATACATAGCAATGGAAATAATATTCAATAGGGTTTCGGATTCTTTTCTCCCCAACAAAAGAAATTAAATATTCCTTCTGTCTATCCTCTGGGAAAGACTTCCCAAACCCTTGCACATAGTAGGAGCCTCAGTTAATTCTTGAATGCATGCATGAATGCATCAGTGAAAGGACATCCACTTTTAAAATGCAATTTCCTTCTGAATGTTTATCTCAGAGAAAATCAGAATAGGATCCAATCTGACCTTAGGAAATGCATAGTTTTCCCTGCAGGTATTCTTACTCTAGTTTTCGGCTTCTATTTAGCCAACAACTACATTGCAAGGGTAACCTCCAACATTTGTGTACCATTTAAAATTTTTTTTTCAAAACACATTATCTCATTTTATCTTCACAATACCACTACCCCTCCCCACCCCAAGTAGTAAACAAAGCAGAGACTGACTGATATCCCAGTTTTCTATCTGAGGAAACTAAGAACAGGGAAATCAAATGACTTGCCTAAGGCTACGCTGAGAACGAAAGAGGAAGTTGGGACCAGGACCCAGGACTCTTGTCCAGTGCTTTTTTTTCCCCCACTGTGATCCTGTAGCCAAAATAGGGTGGTAGAAATGCTTTATTTTAATTTATAGGCTCAAAGAGTCATAAGAACTCTTCTTGTGCTCACTCCGCCTATGAAAAGCATCTCATATTTAATTTAACATGTACCATATTTAAACAATTCTAGAGATGGAGAGTTCTGCCTCCACAGCTCAAACGTGCTCCTGCCCACAGCCTCTTCTTGGCACCTCATACAGCTCCACTGCCAACTGCCATTCATTTAACCATTAAACAGGTTTGGGAGCAACTTTGGGGACTGTGAGTGCTTTCAGAGCAACAATGGCTCCTGGGAATATTTATCCCTCTCCTCTTTTCTCAGTTATAGTGGGTAAAGGCTTTGCCATTGTAAGTGAATTAGCCCAGGAGTAGTGTAGCCCAAGGATCTTTTTTTTTTTTTTCCATATCTCCTTTTTAACAGGACTGGTATTGGCTCTGCCTGTATGCTCAGAGTATTAGCAGGGGCTTTGTACTCTTCCTACGGATCACTTTCCTCCTTATCCCCCAACTCTGCCCCCTTCCCCCAACCTCTTTTTCCTTTCCCTGTTTATCAGCCCCCCTCCCCCTTCCCCCCATCCTTCTCACTCCCAATCCCCTATCCCCATTATGACAGGAAAAAAAAATCTTTTCCAAAAAAGTTAAACCTGTCACAATGATGGATAACCTAAATGGACTCTCCCCCCTCATGAACAGATGTCGAAACTGAACTCTGTCAGAAATAATTAAACACCTTTCACACAGAAAAGCGGCAGGCAGGGGCGTGGGGAGCACGCTCATTCTGTTGGGTCAACACAAGTTAGCAAACTTGCTTCTCCAAAAACTCAGTGAGTTTATAAATGGCGATGTTTCTATGAAAGAATCTGCCACCCGCTCCCACCCCTGCCCCCAATCCTGCACGGGAGTCTCTCTTGTATCTGAGGTGGGAGAGACCAATGCATGGAGAATAAACAATCCTTCTCTGGAATTCATTTTTGCCAATTCTCACTCCACCTGCCCACAGGAGCAGGCAGAAGTATGGACAGATTTAAGACTTTCTCTCTTTCTCTACAACTGACTGCAGTCCAATAGTGGACCTATATTCCCAGAATTTATAATTCCAGCACTTACACAAGGGTTGGCACATAGTAAGTACTTAATTAATGTTTTTCATCCACTTATTCATACTGCAATGACCTAGGAGTGGAAGGGTAGGGTTAGAGTTACTTTGACATACAACTTTACTGGAGAGGAAGACTCATAACGAAACATGAGTTTCTCCTGATGGAGAGATGATGGATTTAAGACTGAAGATCGAGACATATTTTTCTGGACATGGCCAATACAGGAATTTATTTTGCTTAACTATCATACATGTTAATAACAGGGGTTTTGTTTTTCTTGCTTTCTCAGTGGGGTGGAGGAGAGGTAGGAAGGAGAGAAGGCAAATCTTTATTTGAAAATAAAATAGAACTCAATTTTAAAAAGTTCTCTGAATATAGAGGTGTTAAGGAAAGGAGAAGTGAGAATAGGGATTCATAAGATGCTAAAACCCAGGGCCAAAAGTCAGCTTAGGATATTTCCTCTCAGATCATAGGCATTTTGGGTAAAGAATTCATTGTTTTCTATTGATTACATCGCAACGTGATGGGCTTTTTGCAGATTCTCCCCAACTGTGTTCGGTATCACTTTCTTTCACAAATGTCTGCTTGAAAGCTATGGGAGGTGACTGTGGTGGAGAAAGAGAAGAAGAGGGCTGATGTGCTCATGGAGTTGCTCATGTGCTCAGGAGTAGGAAATATATGGTGAAAAAAAACCTTGACCAGTTAATAGGATTCTTGGATTTTGCCCTGAATCTGGCTACTGACTAGCTGTGTGATCTTGGACAAGTCACAATTCCTCACAGCCTTATTTTCCTCCATATGTAAAGTAATGCCATTGGACTAGATGATTTCTAAGGTCCCTTTCAGCACTAAGCATCCTATGATTATAGAATGGACAGGTGGCTGGATCAGTGGGTGGCTGGATAGAGTGGGGTGGGATGAGCACCATTCCCAGATATCCCAGTGTTTCTTGGCAAGATCTTAGGCATATCATGGGCTGAAGAGGGTTGGGAAACACCGACCTTATGTGGCAACAGGGGAGAAATACTGAGGCATTGGGCCTAAAGACAGAGTGAGAGGCATCCCCCACTCCAAGCACTCTTGGCATAAACCTCTGTAGGACAGATCTCAGCAGGACACTCAAGTCAATCCAAACCATATGGTTTACTCTTTTTATAAAGGTCTCTTAGGACAGAGGCTCCTGTTCCACTGTGTGCTTATCCTTAGTGTCAAAAGTATCTTCCTCATGTCTAACTGAATTCTCACTTGCTACAATTAAAGCCTTTTATTTGACCTCAGTTCAGACACAGAAATCAAATATGGGCATTGTCCCCATGCACCATGAAGCTATGGGACCTCCAGAGCTCTCCTTACTTCTCTGGACTTGCCCACACACAGCTATGAATGATAGAACTCACGGAATGTCAGAGATGAAAAGGTCCTTTGAACCAAGGTTATTACAAATGAAAAAGATCACAGAATACGGAATGCCAAAAAGATGGAAGGGGTCTTAGAACACAGAATGTTAAAGCTGGAAGAGGCCTTTGAATGTAGAATGCCCAAGCTAAAAGG